TGGATATGTTTAAAAAATTATAGAAAATTTATATAAATATAAAATATGGGTAAAAGAAAAAACAGAGAGGGAGATTAATCATTTCATTAATTCATAGCTGATAACTATGATGATCACAATTTACAAAAAAGATACTTGTGATCGTAATAAACAAAATATAGTTTCTACTTGTATTTTTGGTAGAACTCAAAACAAGTCACGACTTTATACAATAGCCTACAATTCAAAAGCATCATTACTAGTTACTAAATTTAAATTACTGTCTAATGCCAACATTACCTTGGATTTAGATTTAGAGAATCAGCTAAGCAATGAAGAGTACAACTCTTGCTCCACATATGATTGAGGATATCCTGAACAACATCATAGAAGTTGGATACTTCATTTGCTTGATTTTCCTCATGCCTAGAGATGGCTACCTTCACCTTTTCTGTCATAGAATCCCACATTTCATAACTAGGAGGACACCAATACCTTTTTTTATGGTATCACATGTTATAAAGTCGTATCCAACTATTGTGAGCGATATCAGAGCTGTATTCAATATATTTTTTTAGAAAAATAAAAATAATCGGATACTATTTGGATACATATCCTGGCGTATCCGAGCTGTATCGTTGTCTAATACAGGTACTGACATCGATACTTTTCCATTTTTGGAGTATCTGGGTTTCGTAGCTTTTCCAAGTAGCTTAGTTCTTCTCTTTAGTTGAGTTCAATGTTTCTTTGTAAGTAGTGATATTTTATTTATTCTCTTGAAAATAGTATTAGTTATTTATGATCCTTGTTGAGAATCATGATGTAATAAAGTAATTATAGTATAGGCACATAATATCTTATTAAGGGGAAACAAAATCTCCCCAATTCATGTGTATTAAATGAAATAAACCTATAATCCTATATAAACGTATCTCCCTAGTGTCATTTAAACACAGTTTCTGCATCTTGTATGTCTATACTTTCTGTCTCTTTATCAGGGTTTCTAGAGCCTAACAGATGTGTTTCAAGAACTGTGCCTACCCAATGGATTTTAATGAACTATTATTTCCTGCCATCACTATCCCAACTAAGGCTGAAAAGAAACTTAAATTGCAGTGCTTTCTTTATGGTCCATGCATTGTATGGTTTTCTTTCGGAGTACGTTGCTATTCATGACCAGATTCTTGGATCACCCATGGTTCCTACGATGACATTTGCATCTTCGCCTTCTGCTCTTGCATCCCAGAGTAGTAGTTTGAATCGCTCTCAGACTGGGACATCTCACTCAGAACTGTCCCAAATGCAGACATTGTCATCGTCCTAGGCATACTATTGATTGTTGCATGGTAAACCACCATGCTTGCCATTGTGGCCCAAACATCTCCGATGGAAACCTCTCAACCAGTAGATCATCCTAGAGCCACCCCATCTACTTATGGGGATTTTGTCCAATGTTTTGAGTGTCTGAGAATCGCTAGAAATTCTATACTACTACTTCGGTTGCACAATTGGTAATTCATTTGCTTGTATATTTTCCTTGGGTCTTTGGGTAGTAGACTCTGGTGCATTTGATCATGTCCCGAGTAATCATTCTCTTCTTTCTTCCTTTTCTACTTTTGGTAGATACCTGTTATCACCTCTGTTAATGCTACCCAAACACAAGCACAAGGCATTAGCACTACCCATCCTCTTCCCTCCTTGAAAGTTGACTTTGTTCTATATATACCCTATTGTTTCTTGAACCTCCTTTCTGTTTATTGTCTTATCCAAACCCATGATTGTATTATTACTTTTTCTTAAAATTCTGTGACATGGAGTTTCGGCAAGATGATTGTTGTATGGCATCGGATGTGCATTGCTTGTGCCTCTCTGTTGATGATACATGCTCAATTGGGACATCCTAGTTTGCCAAAGCTTTAGAAAATGGTGCTGCCCTATCCAAACTGTTGAGTCTTCATTGTGAGTCATATCAATTAGGGAAGCACATTTGTACTTGTTTTCTATATCAAAAACGTCTCCATTTGCCGTAGTTTATTCTGATGTTTGGGGTTCTTCAAGACTTGTTGCCCTATCTGGTTTCAAGAATTCTTGAGATTGAAGATGTTTTTGATCATTCCTTGATGCGTAGCTTGTTTCTATGACCGGGGCTTTGGGGGAGAGGCACAAGGTTCCAGATAATAGAAAACAAAAAACGAAAACATGTAAAAGTTGTTTTAGTTTTAAAAACTAAAATAATAGAATAGTTTTAAAACCAGTTTTTAAAAATTGACCAAGTTTTTTAATTTTTGAAAACTGAAAACTGATTTTAAGGATAAACAAACAGGCTCAAAATCTTTGTTTGTCTCTTGCAGGACTCAAAATAAACACTGAATTCTAAATAGAGATAAAATTACTGATTTTTTATGCTAGATTTGAGTTCAAACATGGGGATTTACCCTAGCAACGAGTTTCCACTTTCCTCCTCCAAAACACATCTAATAACAATCTGACACCTTAATTGCCTTTTACAAGTCTGTAACACTACTTATATATTACCATAACTGCATAATATGAAATTAATACAAAAATAACTGCCTAATAACTTCAAATACAGAATTATAACTGCCTAAATCAGATTTTGGCCTATCACTTTGCTCTGTACGTACTGTTTTTGAAGGTCCAGCATGCTCATTAGTCAATACTACTTTGTCTGTATGTGTCCTTCTCATTAAGTTTATTTTCCCTTAACTGTTATTTAGATTGAGTTTTGCATATTTCTTTTACAGGATTTACTGGTTATTGATGATGGACGTTATAGTGATGATGCTGGGGATGTTCAGATGGTTAGCGTTGAGAAGAAAGAAAATATCCTGGAAAAATCTTTTGGCAAACTAAGAGAAACAGGAACGGTATGATTTATTCTTGTGGCTTTTCTTTCTTGGAAAGGTTATCTTGGTTTATAAAGTCATCTGCATCATCGCATTGATCACATGAAACCAACTTCATTTTCCCCCCATGTTTTCTCTAGAAACTGAAACAATTGGAGGGAAACTGGTCATAATACACATTTGTACAATGTCTCTTATAATATTGGCAATGTCCCCTGTTGAAATTTAAAATTAAGTTATCTGTTATTTATTATAAACATCTGAAATCTGAAATCTACTATCCAATATGCAGGATGTCTGGCAAGGAACTCAGCTTCTTGCCATTGATGTTGCTGTTGCCATGGGTTTACTTAGAAGGTCACTTATAGGGGATGAACTGACTGAGAAGGAGAAGAAAACACTTAAAAGAACCTTGACTGACATGGCTTCTGTTGTTCCTATTGGTGTTTTAATGCTTCTTCCTGTGAGTTTTGATTATCCTCATATTCTATGTATGGATCACATATCTGGTTCAGGCTATAGAAGCATATTGTTCATTCATAATCTGATGAGAACTGGACCAGAGAATGAAGAAAGAAGAATTCTTTGTTGAATGTATGTATGATTCACATGCTTTTGAGAGACCTGCACTCTCCACAACAATGATTAATTTCCCTCCCCTATTCCTAACACTCAGCCCTCTTTTATAATACCCACCCAGCATTTGGCTCCTTCAATGAGCCCTCTATTTGCTGTCTTCATTGCAGCATTTGACTTTTATTGTGCCCCTTTTTTACTGCTTCCCTGAGTGTCATCTGCCAGCAGCACCTTGGTAGGTACCTTCAGGCCTTCATCTGACCACTTCACTAGCACCTTTGAACCCTAATGATCTTCCTCACCAGTTCCTCACCAAATTTACGACCTTAATGGAAGAAATTATTTGCAGTGGGCTCTGTATATTCCCACAACCCTCCCGTTTGACAAACCATTGTGACATTTCTTAGTTTTAACTAAGGGAGAACCTATAGAGTGATTCAGAAACTTGCACATCGGGGATAACTGACATCGATTCACCTACTTGAGAAGTGTTGTAAATATGTAAATAGCTCTAATTTAGTGTAGAACACCTTTTTTTCTTTCTAGTACATATCCCCAGTAGTTTTTGTATTTATTAGAATATATAATGCCACATTTCCTTAGGTTCGTTGAGTTTCATTTATTAGGATTAGCTTATATATTCATATTAGAGTTTGTACGGTTGTACCTTTAGGGAATCATCAAATAATATTAAAAAAATTAATTCCTTCATCTCCTCATATTTCAAGACTGGCTGAAATATATCCAGGCTTAGTACTGTTTTTGATTAATTGGTCAATAGATTTAATAATTGATCCTGCATAAGCGAGAGATTCTTGTTTCCTCCAGTTTTTCCCTGAATTTGAATGGGCCAAACTTGGCATGATCAATTAATTTGTTTTTTCCCCTTTAATTCTTCTACCCCTTAGTAAATATTGAACTGGAAATATAAGATAAAGAACTAATGCTTATAGAAAATATAGAAAGATGAAAGAAATGAACTTATTGTTATTTCATTTACTTTATTTCTTATTGTGTGGTAAATCTGGTCCTTTCATTGGGGTAATGGTCCAGTGTAGCCTACTAAGGAAGAAATGTTTATTTTGCACAGGTTACTGCCGTTGGGCATGCAGCAATGTTGGCTGCTATTCAGAGATATGTACCGGCTCTAGTATGCACACTGACTGGCTGCTATTTTTTCATCTCCTATTCAGATGTCAATTTCTAATCATCTCGTCATAAGGATTTACTAAGCCTTCTTTCTTTCAGATTCCATCCACTTATGCACCAGAAAGGTTGGATCTCTTGAGGCAGCTTGAGAAAGTAAAGCAAATGACAGTCAGTGATATGGGTTCAGATGAGGAAGTGGATGAAGTTAAATGATCAGAAGGAATGC